CTGGCCGTCCACGCGCAAGGCCGAGAACGCGCGGGACCCGGTCTCGAAGCGCCACACCGCGCAGGGCAACGAGCCGGAGGAGAACGACGAGAACGAGCCGCTGGACTGCGCCGCGTGAGGCTGGAGCTCGCCGCGCGCCGGTCGGGTGGCGCTGCGGGGGGGTCGCGGGCTGTTCCCGTTCACGCGTGACTGCAGGAGGCAGCGCAGAGCGGCCGGTGGCGGTCTTCATCTCACGCCGTGCAATTTTTCTGGCTGCCTCTGTGAGAAAGACACCCAGGCTTGTGCTTGAACCCGCAGTCAAGAATTACCTGTTGTTGCAGGTAGAGCCTGTTTCAAAATCCAGGTGTTTTCTAATGAAATTTCCTTCTACAACAGTACAGTTACAACTTCACGTTATGACTAAGTTGTTTTATATTAGACCATCTACACGCTTGCTATACAAATCGGAACGGTTTAGGGAACGGGAGAAAATAAACCCACCGAAATAGACACTATTACAGATGCATACAGATGGTAAGGGTGGCGCTGTGAAGCACTATATTACACATTGGCGCAGAGCCTCTGTAAACTTCATAGGCTGTATAGAGGTCTCATGGACTAGCATGGAGCCTTACAGCATTATCCGGTGTGTGGGATGCATTGAAAAGCATTTGTGCTTCATGGAGTATATATTTATTATAGACTAGTAGCCAAAGTTTAATATTTAAACCTTGTTTATGATGTTTTCAAAACGTTAGAATTGAAAGGATTTCATTATACAACGATATCTATTTCAGTTGACCTGTGCATGTCCTCGTTTTTGGGGGGCCAATGTTCAGAACTAACTTTTGTTCGCTGTATTTCATATTTAATGATCCCATGGTTTTCCTGTCCACTTTTCCTCCGAATGTTATTGAAGGACTAGATAGTACTGTGCCCTCAAGACCTCTGTTGAATGGTGGTCTTCGCAGGAGAGGTTAGAACTGCGTGTCAGAAATGGTAACATTTCTGAGGGGTCCTCAGTATTAAAAACTGTTTTGGGGTGACGTTTAATTGTTTATCGTGTTTCTTTTTTAAATAGTTGTATGTAAATATTCCCAGTTTTTATATAGAACCCAGATTGATCAAATATATTCGTACTGATTCTGGCCTGCATTCAAATCAGGTTGACTTTTGTGATTGTTTCAGAGCAAAAATAAAGCTGAGTAGTGCTTGTCTTTCACCTGCCTGTCGTCGCCTGTGTCTTTCTGGGGATGCTATTGCCGCAGAGTGAAAAGGGCGGGTATGGGAGGCGCCAGGTGTGGACGTTAATCGCACGAACGGGACAGTGACACCCTAGCATTCCTGCAGTTTCACGCCCCATCCTCTGCGTTTCCTGCTGTTAACACAGATGCTGGGCAGTTACCACCCCATCCAGGGGTACTGTGGGGCTGCAAACAGGCTTGACCGGCCCTGCGGTCGAGAGAGGGGCCCTAATTAAGGACAGGGGGCAGGTGCACAGTGCAGGTAGAGATGTCATCTCTGCACAGCCATTTCCTGAACGAGCCCTGGGCAGTTGGCTGGCCCACACCCAGAGACAGCACAGGGACACCTGCACCCGGCGGAGCAGTTGAGAGCCTTGTCAAGAGGGCTTGATGGATGCCCCGGCAGAGCAAGGCGGCAGCTCTTCGGAGAAGGAATTGCAGCAGGCGGAGCCAGGAGAGGACTCCGCTTGGGAACTAGGGCCTGGAAGCTGTGTAGGAAAGGCTGTCCCTACCCATCCCTTACCCAAATAATAATCATTCCTTACACTTATATAGCGCCTTTCTGGACTCTTCACTCAAAGAGCTTTACAGGTAATAAGTATGCCCCTCCACCACCACCAGTGTGCAGCCCCACCTGGATAATGTGACAGCAGCCATAGTGCACCAGTACTCTCCCCACACACCAGCTCTCAGTGGGGAGGAGAGCAGAGGGATGGAGCCAGTTCAGAGAGGGGGGTTATTAGGAGGCCTTGACTGGTAAAGGCCAATGGACATTAGAGCAACACCCTCCTCTTTTCAAGAAACACCCTGTGATTTTTAATGACCACAGAGAGCTAGGACCTCAGTTATATGTCTCTTCTGAAGGACGACGCCATTTTACAGTACAGTGTCCCCGTCACTATACTGGGGCATTAGGACCCACACAAGAAAGAGGCCAGAGAGAGCAGTGTTCTGTATTAGTTCAAGCAGGGGGCTGCGTCAGCATGTGTAGGCTGCGAAGGAACAAGTAAAGTTTTATTCCATTCCATTTTATTCCACAGCCAAAACGTTGTGCTTCTTTTCTTCTCTTTTCAGCGTGTTATGTATTATGTGTGTTGTGTGTTGGGTAGGCAGTTTTGGACATTGTTGTGTTTTGGGGGTCCTTTTGTAAGATGGGCAGAATGACTGCAATAAATGCGGTTTTACACACGGTAACGGTCTCGTCTGGTCTGTGGATGCACTGGTGATTCTGTGGATCTGTGGAATATGAAACAAAAAGGGTCCCAGCACCCTTTAAAATTGTTAGGTGGTGTAGTCGGGCAAAAAGCAGGCAGGCATGATTCTTGTTTTGAGGTGTCCCTATACCATGACAGTATTGTAACACTTTGGGGTTCACATGGGCACCCTCACCACCACCACAGCTGGTGGACCCCCCCACCATCAGGGACTCAAACCCAGGCTTCCAGCGTCACTCAACAGGGACCCAGCCTCTTGAGCCAAAGGGAAATCACCCCTCAGCCCACCGCCTGTGGCCCCTGCTATCCACAGGGAAGGGCGGTGACGTCACCGCGCTGGTAAGCCAGCCCTCACAAGCAATGGAGGCCGTATGCGGTGCAGGATTTTTGCAGATCTTACCATATGCATTCCAGCTAAAAAGCAAAGGCTTCACCTACAACCAACAGCACGACTTCCCCTGGAGTGCGGATCATTGTGGACGAGTTGGGGATGGAAAATCTATATGAATTAGGCCTTTAAACATCTCCAGATGACAATGGTCAAATCCGACTCAGCATAACGACAGAATGGTTAAGAGTTTCCCATTGAACCAGACACAGGGCATTGATTTTATTTTGATCACAACATTAATATTGAGTTGCAGCTAATTACTACCATACAGCAGATTGGATGTCTTACAGTCACGGGGGGGGGGGGGCTTCTGACGCTTTTGCGGAAAAGATTAGGATTGAAGACCCCGCATACTCGTCAACCCATTCGTGAGGTGGTACTATCTCCAACCTGTGTCGACGCTGCCGCGTCAGTAGAGCCACTTAGGAAAATGACTTCTCTTCTTACGCGCAACGACTAGGACGAGAAGGTAGAACGCTATTTTAATGTTTCTGTTCTTTAAAACCAGTATGATACTCGAAACAGCGCGGTACTGTGCATTCTGCCCACAGATTGTGGAAGACTTGTGACTGATGGTTAAAAACGTGTGAAGTCTTTAACAAAGCATGCGGAATTCCCGTTGAAAATCGCAAAACGAAGCTGCGACTAAAGGTGGTGGATTATTTTTAAACAGGTGCCCAATAAATAATAATAATAATAATAATAATAATAATAATAATAATAATAATAATAATAATAATGCCCTTTAACACTTGATTGCCCTTCCCCTGTTAATGAACGGAATACTAAACTTTTATTGCAGGATTACGTAATACACACTACCTGTTGCTCGCTCATCTAGATGTGTGCTGCTGTAGAAGGTGGATAAAGTTAGCGCTGTGAAACGCATTTGTGTCGGTGTGAACTACACGCTGTAGTAGGTTTTTGCTGCATTCTAGCGGATTTAGAAATGAAGCGCACTGAGGGAGCAGGGAGCTGCGCCAGCACGCGTAGGCTGCAAAGGAACAAGTAAAAGTTTATTCCTGCTGAAAAGAGACGCAACGTGTCGGCTGCGCGGCCTTCTTGGGGTGTCGGGGAATACACAGTATGTGGTATACGACTCCCTGCCAGCCCTGGCGGCGGTGACCGTCTTCACTTTCGGTGGTAGACGGCGGTGGAACAGTTCTGTTGCTGTCTCTTCACAGCCTTGCGACTTCTTAAAAGACTTCACGAGATAATACCTTCGGACCCTCGTGCCCCTCCGGCGGGGGTCGGCGCTCCGCCTCTGCCCGCGCGGCGCGCTTGTGAAGGCGCGCCCCGCGCGCCGCTCTCCTCGAGCCCAAGTAGCTCGCCGTGATCGTATAGTGGTTAGTACTCTGCGTTGTGGCCGCAGCAACCTCGGTTCGAATCCGAGTCACGGCATTGTGGTGAAACAATGTCACGGCATTGGGCCTGATCTTTTCCTATGTTTTTTTTTTTAAAAAAAAAAACATTTATCGCATTTTTGACGACGCAAGTCAAGTGTTTTCACTGATACTTTGCGAGCGGGTGTGGTGTGATTCGTTAAGACTACCATTTTTGCAGATCCCGTGCATGCAAGCGCTGATGCTTAGCACTTTCCATTTTGTTACGGTTGGTTAAGGCAAAAATCAAACAAACAAACAACAAAATGCAAAAAAAAAAACACTTGAACGCCGTCGTTCAATTGTTTTGCTATCAGTAGTCAGATTTTTAAAAAAATTAGGTAATTTAAAATATTTTAGTGCTGTTCGGCGGTAGTTCTTCCATTCTGACTCTGCGTAGGCTGTTTCCCCTCCCCCTTGCATATATTATGCAAATAGCACCTCGCTTGGGTTTCTGGGTAAATGAAACCTAACGTGTAATGTCCTACGTTTTCGCTCCTCTAAAAGCTCTATTCCTGTAATGTTTGAAGTATTGTACAGTAAAGCAATTTATTATCATTTTGTGTCCTCGGTATAAAGACTTACACTTACACACCACAAACCGAACGCCTATGTTGTGAAGTGGGGACTCCTGTTCTGCGGGCTGTCAGGTTAAGACTATACTTTCAGGGATCATTTCTATAGTTTGTGACTTGAGAAATGCGTTTCTAAAGTGTTTGGTCTCGCCAACCACGATGAGGAGTGAAAGTGTCCTCTTCTGAGCGCGAAGCGGACTGGGATTGTTGCTTCACGGCAGCTGATCCCGGTCATTGATGACCGTTCCTCTCCCCCTTGTGGGGACTGGAGGAAGAGGACACATTCTGAGTGGTTGGCTCTTCTTAATGGTTGAAATAACAGAACAAGTACAG